AAACTAAACCAAATACATCTAATAGGTTTCTTTCTCACGGATCCAGTAGCTTTCCTCTCTTATCACATAAAAAAATACAACCTAGTAGCAACTTTTGAAGAGATTCCAAGAGCTGGAGCTATATATAATTTTGAGCTGAGTGTATCCAGCCTTGGGATTTCAGATCGTGCATCACATTGAATTAATTAACTCGCAAGATCTCCAGGCAAGAACAATTAGATCAACAAAGAATTTATTTCTTGGTTCTGAGGTGTAACTTTATGGCGCTCCCCACCCCCAAATTCTCTGGCAAATTTAAGAGATGGGTTTTGCTCCCAATTATGCTTGGCAAATAGGAAGCTCATTGAGGATATGGTAGATGGCAAAACGTAACAAATTCCCGCGATCCAAGTTAATTGGAAAACATTTAAATGAGGAAAGTCTTTAAGAACAGCTTGGGAGGTTGATGAGATCAGGTGCTTCATCAAAAAAAAAGATGGAAGAGGGGCTTATCTGTACCTTTGGACACAATGATTTCCAGGGAGAGATGGGCAACATCTGCCTACATCTTGTCCTTGTTCCAAATTATCCAAAGTAGGGGTGTGTTTTGTGATACATATCTTGGGAGATGAGGGAGAGGCTTCATTTGTTTTAACAGTGAAACAAATAACACAGCTTGGCTCTAAGGCTCACCGTACAAGTTAATATTTTTTTTGCTTCTTTTAATCCCCACCAAATTATGCCTGGAATTGGAGAGCTGACAAACCTGTAAACAGATACTCCTGGACTTAAATACAGTTAATTTGGTGGCAGTTCAAAGTTACATTGGCACTGAAAAAAACTGATGTAGAATAGAGTAGAGTAGAGTTCTTCATTGGCCAAGTGTGATTGGACACACAAGGAATTTTTCTTTGCTGTATATGCTATCAGTGTACATAAAAATACCAAGATACATTCATCAAAACTCATAAAATACAACACTTAATGACAGTCACAGGGTACAAATAAGCAATCAGGAAACAATATCTATATAATTTGTAAGGATACAAGCAACAAAGTTACAGTCCTGCAGTTATAAGTGGGAGGAGATGGGTGATAGGAATGATGAGAAGACTAATAGTAATAGTAATGCAGCCTTAGTGAATAGTTTGACAGTGGTGAGGGAATTATTTGTTTAGCAGAGTGATGGCATTCGGGGGGAAAAAACTGTTTTTGTGTTTAGTTGTCTTGGTGTGCAGTGCTCTATAGTATTGTTTTGAGGGTAGCA